AACATAATAGGAAGAGTGTGGAAGAAGTTTAAAATTAATTATACTTAATTCTTACAACTTCACTAAGCTGACTAGTGTTAGGCTTACCCAGTAATGACTAAGCTAGGACATATATTACATTGGCAGAGGAACAATAAAAAGCTATTTTCGTATTATCAATGTGCTGTTTTCAGTGATCTCTAATTCCATCCAAAGAGACAATTCACTGATCCGACAGCAAGGTGAGAAATCATTTCATTGTCTCATAGCCAGTTAACTCAGACATGTTCCAAGAGGAAAACTTTCTACTTTTAGAGATTTCAATCATTTATCCCACTCCTATCCCAAATCTATGATAAGTGCTTTGTAAACATCGTAATCATTTAGCAAGTAAAAATAGCACATACTTTACCTTACACCAACGACTAGGAAAACCTCAAAATAGTAGTAAAATAGTCTAATATTAAGAACATTAAGGTCACAGCACTATAACAGTCAATTTGAACCCATAAAAAATGAAGCACAGCATGACAGCTTTAGTGACTTGTTTTGAAAGATTAAAGTGGTATGTGTCCCTGCTACTAGATTTGTAGTTACCACTTGAATTTTAGTTAACTTAGAAAACGTATAGCATGTGAATTTTGAAGATAAATACACTAACAGTGTACATATAAAATAGACTAATGCAGCTTCATAGAGCCAAGAAAGAAAAACAGAGGTACTGAAACTTTTGTGCTTATGAAGAAATGTGCATTACTAGGTCCCACTGGTTGACTGAGGACTTTACATCAAAACCACCCTTTTTAAAGTTAGTTTTTTCCCCATTTGTAGTACTGGGGATCAAATTCAGGGCCTCATGCACATGAGGCAAGTGCTTTACTACCAAACTACACCTTCAGCCCTATTTTTAAAATTTGCATGCAAAACACAAACAAAACTGAGAATTACAATAAGAAACATAAAAATCATTTAAAGTTAATGAGTGCGTAAAAAATAAATGCAGGGAGAAAGCTAGTCAGCCTTACTGGATAACAATATCCCATGTCAACTTTACTGGGAAATAATATCTCATGAGCTATCTGCTTAAGAAACAAAGGCTGGACCACACGGAATGTCCTTTTTTACTGAGAAAGAAAACTCTGGAAAATATTTTGGCCAAAATAATTGAAAGAAGCAGTTTGTTCAGGACACAGTAAAAGAAAGTTAAATTCAGATTAATTTCACTTTGCGAGTTAACTGACACAACTTGTTTGCTTCCTCATCTACTGTATTATTTTGAATATTTGACTAAAACTTGAAACTGGAGCTAGAAAAGAAATAATTCAAATGTCAACTTCCTGTCACAAATTATTTCATATTTTAAATTCAAGTAAAAATTTTTTTTATTTAAGTGAATGAAGGTGCAATGGCAAATACCTTTAGCTAAAAAAAATTTTATCAGCCATGCAAGATGGCGTAAGCCTGCAATCGAAGCACCCTGGGAAGTTAAGGCAGAAGGGTCACAAGTTTAAACACTGCCTGTGCAACTCTGTGAGATCCTGACTCGGTGTGAAGGCTATATGTTTGATCCCTGGTACTATGACCTAAAAATAAAATAATGAAATCAAATCACTGGTCAGCAGATCAAGTAGATATAAAGAAGTATTTCATGATTTTTTTAAAAAATGAAACTCTTCATGTGCTGACTTGACAGAAATTTGTATATATTGATAGAAAATCTCTGAAAAGACAAATAAAAATTGGGCAACGTGGGTGATGAGAGTGCAGGGCATCTGCTATATTTGTTTTGAATTATGGACAATGTGAGTTACTTATTCCATAAACAAAACTGAAAACACAAAAAGTGTACTTTTTACTTCACCAGGGGTGACCTCTCTTTTCTTTGATTTTTTTATGACAAATATTCTACCTTATTAGTTACTATGTTCCCTACAGTCCCTTGAGGATAGGGGAAAGGCAGCAATAATTCATCTTTGGATTTGCAGCAGCTTTTTGGCCCAGGTTATTAAATACTGGTAAGGTAGATATGGAGAAGAAACCTGCTGAAGGTCCAATAAAGTTTAACAGCTACGATTAGCTGAATCCTTAAGGTACTTTATCTCACAAGCCTGTGGAGCTGTTGTTCTCATTTCACAAATAAGGAAACTGAAAGATTAAGAAATTCTCCTTGTGACAAAATTCCTTTAGGGCAGGCCACACGGCAGAAATGTCAACGTCAAGATTCAAACCCAGGCCTGTGATTATTCCAAACCAGATGCTCTTTCAACCACATTCTGTCTCAGTGCTAAATAAATATTTGAATTACCATAAACTGTTGTCTCAAGTGGTGTGCAGTAGAGATGAGTTCACACTTAAGAAAAAAAATCTTGCATTTTCCATTCCTTGACATCTGCTATTTTTATATTCAGATTTGAGCTCTACTGAACATAAAGAAGTCAACAATAGATATTACACCATACATAGATGTTTGCAAGACTGTCACAGGGTTGGCCCTAAGCAAGTTTATTTATGTATGCTAAGATAGTTATGAAATGAAATTATAAATTATAAATTTCTGTAAAACAAAGTATTGAGTTACAAGTAAATAATTTTCTCTACTGTGAAAAAGGGAGAAGTTTCAAATGAAGTGAAGTGGAAAATATGTACTTGGGTTTTCTATAACTATACTGTATCCAAACAAAACCAATTATCTTGGAATGAGACATAAGTTATTTGTCTAAGAAAACAAAATTTCTACTATTAAGATCTAATCAAGAATGAATTTCTAGAAGCAGAAAAAGGAAGTTTAAGGATCAGGTTTCTAAGCTTCTTCAGGCTCTTAAATGAAAAAAATTTTTTCCTGTTCAAAAGAGGCATTACAAGAGTTTTAAATTCCAAAAGAACTCTTTTAACAGTTTAGGTAAACTCCCTCACAGAAACTTACTAGCTTTCTAAATATATATGCCCACCGCTCAAACAGAATGATACAAACTCAGCTGCAATTTTTACCAGCTCCAGGTAAAATAAATGTAAAAGTTTGAAAGTTTCCCAAGATTGCTAAGAGACACAGACTAGGGATCTAAAACAAAATTTAAAAAATCTTTTGGACTGAAGAAAGAACACATCAGAAAAAATCTCACACAAGAAAAATCATTGTATATTGTCTGTAAGAAAAAAAATTCTACTTAAGTGATGCTGGCTGTCAGAAAATCTTTGAGAACTGTAACTATCAATACTGTACATAACTTTAGTTCTTGGAAATAAAATCATTGTCTCAATCCTTATGGAAAAACTCCCTTTATTGTATCTTTTTTCCCCCTTCATTGTATCTTAATTTTCTTGGCAACCGCAAAGCGGTAATGTAGTCAAAAGACTACCATGCAGCAAAGTAGGTTTTAGAAAAGTGACTTGGATACAGAAAAATCAGAAGGCAGTGTTTACCAATCAATATTTATTCCTAAACTGACACTTTGTATACATCAAACATAACCATACAATTAATTACCTGTCCTTTTCCGCTTTCAAATCACCTAATGTAGAAGTTTGGGGTTTTAGCTTTAAATCAGGAAATTAGCATTGAGTGTTCAAGATTTCAAGAGATGGCAACCAAAAGTATCTCATACTAAATCTGCAGAAGGGAGGCCTAATGCAAGCCGAAGCTAGCAATGAAATTCTGACTCCTGGAGAAGGTATGACAAATTTAAATAGGTCAGATCGCAGGCCCTTTAAAATTGTCTTTTAATCTTTAATGTGTCAATGGCTTTCTCTTTTTTCTTTTTTTGAAGTCCCCTTTTTCCAATAGATGAAGTCTCTTGGGTTAAATTGTTGTGAACCTGAGACCAAGGTTACCTCCTGCATTAGACACAAACAATGGATACTTTTAATGCCTATTTTTAGAATCAGTATTAAACCAATCCTCCATTGAAGTTTAGACAAATATGTAGGAAACATGGTAAGGGGCGAGCGAAGGGGCGAGTTGAGCTCCAGATCGTTCAAAACCCTTGGCAAGACTGGCCCCCTCCACAAAAAACAAGTGATGGAAAACAAAAGTACCTCAGCTATTCGTTTCAACGAAGGGTTTCAGAATGATAGACCTCAAGTGATTATTATTGAAAAAGGTTAAAACCGAAACTGTTTTCAAATACCAGCTTCCCTTTTAAAGATCCCAACAGTTTCTTTAAAAAGTTATTATAAACGTTGTTTTTTTCTTAGCACCCCCTTCCTCCCCAAAAGAACGTATTTCCATGACTACTTATTTTTTTTAAGCGTGAGCGCGGGGTGGGGGGGGTGGGTGATTGTGGCAAGGAGTAAAAAAATTTCCCTTAAAAAGCATGAACATTTGTCAAGGAAGCAGCAAAGGGCACAAAACAGCATTTTCCCCAACGGTGTGGGCGCGGGGAGCCAGAGCACGAATGAAATACAGCACGAGAGAACACCTTGGGTTTCGAACTTTATTGCACAAAGAGCGCGGGGCCGAGAGCAGGTCGGACGTGGCCGCTCCGCTTCCCGGCCGGGCGGGCCGCAAGCACCTTCACCCCCGCTGCCCTCTGCCGTCGCCTTCTTCCTCCTCCTCCACCCCCCACGGGCACTAGGCGGTGGACGGACCGAGGCGAGGCGAGGCGAGGCGGGCGGGCGACTGGGCCGGGTGACCGGGCGGGCGGCCTCCCCCGGGGAGGCTCGGTCCGGCTCCGGCTCCGCGCCCGGCTCCGCGGCGGGAACGCGGCCGCCCGCACGCACACACCCCCGGCCGCCGGCTCGCACCCCGCCCGCCGCCCGCCGCCCGCCGCCCCCCGCCATGAGCGCCGCCGCTGGCTGCAGGCAGAGTCGCTGCCGCCCGGCAGCCGCTGGCTCCAGGCCGCCGCCATTATCCTTTGTTCGCTGCGAGCGGCGGCGGGGTTGTGGGGCTCGGGCGGAGGCGCCATCTTTACCGAGGCCCCTCCTGCGAAGGGAAGGCCCCGCGCGCGGGCGTCCGGCGCCTCCCCGTCCCCACTGCGTCCCCCCGGCTCTCTCCGGCTCCTGCCTCCTCCTCCTGTTCCTCTTACCGGTGGTACAAGCGCCTCCGTCACTGCTTTCGTTCGCGGCCCGGATCTCGCTGGAGTTTTATTCTCTCCTCCACGTAACACACCGCGTCAAACTACACCTCCGCCGCGTCACTCGCCAACACTCCGCTTCTCCCAGCCGCCCGGGCCACAGGCAGCAGCAGCCGCCGCCGACTGAGGAGCCGCAGCCAGGGAGCCAGCCAGCGCCGCCCAGTGCCGAGTGCGCAGCGGCCGCGCACGGAAACAGCCGAGCGCCGCCCGGAGCCGCTCGAGCGGCCCCGCCCCCGCGTTGAGGGCGGAACTTGCCGAAGGCCTTCGGGCTCTTTCGGGCGTGCCGGTGGGGTTCTGCTGGGACTAGGAAGGTGAAGGTGGTCTGTGACTTGTTAATGGAGGAGCGGTTGAAACCTCATGGTGGCATTAGGCTGCCTGAAGCTCGGCGGCGGAAATGTGGAGGAAGCGGGGTTTGTGTGTGGCCAGGTGGGGAATTCCTGGGTGTTGGTGGCTGGGTGGAAACCCCCGCGCGGCCCTGGCCTTGAGGCGGTAGGCGGCTTTTGCGGCTCTTGGGCTCCGCGGCCCGGGGACGCGGTCGTGCGGCTGCCACAGTGAGGGCTACGGGGCTCGGCGACGCCCCGGGCCTGAGACCCGCTCTGGACGTGGGACCGAGCATCGTGGGCCCCGGTGGGGGTCGTGTTCCTGCCGAGAGTCAGCAGGGAACTCGGAGCTGTGGTGTCTGGAGGACGGAGGCTGCGGGTCGCGTGGGTTCAGCCCAGCAGCGCGGACAGCCGGAGGCCTCCGAGTGACGACCTGCTAGCCTGAGGCTGCGCCTCAACTTTCGAAATGTGCCCCGCCCCACCTGCCCTCCCTGCTTCAGGCGACATCCTGTGTCGCCTGCTTTTCTCAGCCGTTTTCTACAGCAGTGGTTTGCGCTCGCTGCACCCTTTTCTTCACCCACCCCCGCCCTGAAGCCGACAGTGTGACTTCCGTAGCCTTGAAGCTGCTGCAGCTGCTTTCAGAGGTCATCCTGGGCAGACCGCAAATTATCCATTCTCATTTTTCTTCAACCCAGTAGTCTCGAAGGGCTCTCCAGTCTTAAAATTCTTCCCGTCTCTTCTGGATTCTGCCCCTTAGTGACTTCTGTTACAAAGAGCTGCCCTTCTGTCTGTTAGGTCCCATCCCTTGTCGCTTTCTCAGGGACATTGCCTGAAGAATATCCTTTTACTTTCAACTTTTATTTCGCCACCAACTCTTTCTAAAATATCATGTCTCTCATTTCTCAAAACGAAACAAAGACTCCTCCCTAAATCCCTCTCTAACATCTCCATCTCTTACCCAAGATGCTTTTTATATTCAATGCTTAACCCTCTCCAATCTGCTGTAGCTTCTGTTCCTTCCACTCACCGGAAGCAGCTCAGACTTTTTAACAGCAAACCCGTGTCTGTCAGGTGATTTTTCAGGCCTCATTTTATATCTTATCCTAGCACTTGACACTCTCTTAAGTGACCACAGCTTCTTCCAAATACACCCATCTCTCCGCTCTTGAGTCAGTTTTCCGCTTACCTCTGCTTGCTCTTTAAGCAGTTCTTTGTCCTTTATCCTGGTTCTATATTGAAATCTGCTAGCAGACCTCTGATCTTTTGAGTCCCACCATACACACTTAACTCAGGTAATCTCTTCCTCTTCCAGTAGTTTCAAGGCTTTCTATCAAAGATTCTCCAATCTGTAACTCTGGTCTTGCTCCTGAACTTTAGATTCAAATTTCCAACAGCCTTTGCTAAACTTTCTTTTGGATGACTAGAGCATGTCAAAGTCAACCTGTGTGTCACATTCCCTCCAAAACGCTCCCATAGCCCCAGGCTCAATAAGGGCATCCCCAGGCCATCTGCTTTGGTGTGAACTAGAAACCTAGCACATCTTCAGTACAGATCAGGATCATCTAGACTTGTCTACTTCCTGAAAAATTGGATTTCTGATCTCTGTTCCTATACCATGTTTTTCACTCTCATTCAAGTCTAAGCTGTCTTTATCTCTTGCTTTAAGTCTTGCAGTGACCACCATCCACATCTTCCAAAACTGTTCTTGCCTCATTTCAATCCATATACCCGTACAGCTGCCAGAGTAATCTTAAAAATACAAAGCTGATCAAATCACTACCTTTCTTAAATTTCTTCAGTGGCTTCCCTTTGCTAAGTGAACACTGTCTATGCTCCATTATCTGGATTTACCTTTTTTTTTTCCAGCCTCTACGACTGTCCCCCAACACTCTGTACACCAGCAGTGTGAATTAATCTTTATTTTGTCGAGTCTCTCTTTTTCCCTACAGCTTCTCACTTTAAGGCATTTACACATGCCATTGGCTTGCCCTGGAAGTCTCTCACCCAGTCCTATTGAACTGTACTCTCTGCAGATTCATCACACTTATAATTATTTGCTTAGTGTTCATATAATGTCTGTGTGGGGAAGAACCATATCTGTCATATTCACTGCCTGCTTATCTTCTCCCCTCCCATTCCTAATAACAGCACATTGTCCCTAGAGTGGTACTCATTAAATATTTATTGAATAAATAGTGATTTTCTGCCTGGTCATAGTCAAAGTTTCTTAACATTTTTGGGTTCAAATCCGGCTGTCAGTGAATTTGAGATGCTATAATAAAATACCAAAGTCTGGGAAGCTTATAAATAACAAATTTAGGGCTGGGGATTTAGCTCAGTGGTGCAGTCCCTGCCTCGCAAGGGCAAGGTCCTGAGTTCAATCCCCAGTACTAAAAAAAAAAAAAAAAAAAAAAAAATTCTCATGGTTTGGAAGTCTGGGAGCCTGAAATTAGATTGCCAACATGGTCAGGTTCTGAGAAGGGCCCTCACCTGGGTTGCAGATGGCCATTTTCTCCTTGTACCTCATGATGCTGACAAGATTCCTTTTTAAAGACATTGATCCCATTTATAAAGACTCCATTCTCATGACCTCATTACCTTCCAAAGACCTCACTTCATACCATCATGTTGTCAGTTCGAATTTCAACATATGAATGGGGAAAGCACAAACATTGAGTTCATTGCACTGGCTCAGCCACTTACTAGCTGGACAAATTGTTTACTCTTGTGCTCTGGTTTTCCAATCTAAAATAAAGATAATAAGCTATTCTCACCTACCTCATAGTGTTATTGTGATGATTATATGAAATAATACATATAAAATGTACTTGGAGAACAATGTTTGGCCTGTGATAAGTGTTAATAAGATGTTGCCTATTACAAGTTTTTACTTGGCTATCTCATCCATAGGTCAAATACATTTTCAAAATTGAGTCAGTCATTTTCCTGCTTGTTTTTGCCCTGGCCTATCCACAGTACCAAAGTCTTGGAATCATCTACTCAGCCTGTTACCCACCAATGATGATGGGGTTTTTTTATTTATTTAAAAATTTCCTTATATTAACTCTTTCCTTTTAGTCACAGTGACCTTCATTTAGGACTTACCTCATTACATCTCAGTTACTTTGCTAATCCTAGGTGCCTTCTAACTTAAGTCCACCTGACCTGTTTACTTGTATCATAGTGGTCTCTGCATACACCTAACTTTGTTCATTTACTCATTCATTCAAGTGCAACTTATTTTACTAAGCATTTGGGGTATAATCCAGATTTGAAATCCTAATTTCTTATATTCTCAAGTCTTTCCATAAACTACAGACATGAACTAGAAATGTTAAACTTTCATCATCCAGTTTTTGTCTCTAGGACTTGGAAGTCACCCCCATTTTTTCTTCAGTTTCCCAGTTGGAAGATATGGTCAGTACTATGGAGAAGAAACATAATATGAAGGTAAAACCATATGGATACAGCTTGGCACAGTAAAAGATAGATGAGTATCTTGAAAGAGGCCCAGAAAGGAGGAGGTCCCCTGAGATGATTATAAAAGACTTCAAGGAGAAAGTGGTATTTGAGAGCTTTTCTCTAACCACAACTTCCTTTTCCTGTTATTTTTCTCTCTTGCTTCTGCTGTTGAACCTAATTTTCACCATCACATGGTTCAAGGTCCACGAACCCTGCCTATCCTAGTTCATCACTTCTTATGACATGATTTTTTTTTCCTTACCTAACCCCAAGTCTGTGATGACCTATTTCATTTATTCTAAAAATATCTGTTGAGCACCAACTTTAAGCTGTGCATTTTTCTAGAAATTGGGAATATAGCAGTAAACAAAATGTCTCTGATCTCAAAGTTACTAAAATATTCCAATTCAAGCATTTCTTTTTTCACTCATTCCTTTGTGCTCTCATCCAATATCATCTTTGTAAATGTTATATCTATGTTGGCAGTGCTCAAAATTATATCTCAATTCACCCTCCCAGACTCCAAACTCTTCACTGCCTACTCAGATATCCACTTGGATGTTGTCTTAGCTTGTATTCTCTTAGGAAACCGGACCTGAGGCAAAATGTTCTCTGCTACTCTCTTATTGAGTAGAATCCAAGGGAAAGCAGTGAAATCAGGGTAGAAGTCAAGATTCAGTCAAAGAGATGCTACCAGTAATACTATTCTCACCTTCCCCTAATGCAAATATACAATACTTTCATTTTATGTGGGTACCAAACACAGACTTTTAAAATATGTGGCCTGGGCATGAGGCAAAACATTGGTGTCAGCTGCCTGAAGTTGGTAGGGCAGTGGTAATGGTGCAGTGGCCATATGTTGCCAATCCCAAGAGGATCTGAGGTACTATGCATGTCTACTGACCTCAAATTCTGTATATTTAAAGTAGAACTGGTTGTCCCCCTCACTTGTACACCTGCAGCCTTTCCCATCTTAACTGGTAAGATTGAAAATCTTGTCTGATTCTTAGAGCCTCCTCCCACATCTATTTCATCTGAAAACTTTATTGGTACCTTCAAAATATATTCCCAAACTCACTACTTAGCATCAAACCAAGTGAGTTGGGCCCACACTTCCTTTGTTTCTTGCCCAGATTGCTGAATATCTTAAGAAATTCTCTACATTTTCCCTTGCCACACACCAGCCACATTTCTGCCTTAACATCTTAGGCTGTTCCACTACTTACAATGCATTTCCCCTCCAAATAACCAGAGAGCTAACTCACCTTCAGATCTGAAATTTCAAATTCAGATTTGAAATTCTCACTGAGGCCTTGATTGTGCAACTTAAAATTGCAGCTTGACACCTCA